TTAAAGCTGGTAAATAATATGATCCAATTTACATCCTGCAAAGATCACTGTGGCTGCTGGGGAGAAATTTGGTTAGAGGGAGACAAAAGTGAAAGAAAACTGTAGACAGACAGCTGCAATGGTCCACGTAAAAAGTAATGATAGTTTGGAAAAGACTGGTGGCAACTGGGGGAAAAATGGATGGGCCTGATAAATGTTTTGCAGGTAGTATGGATGGTACTTGACAATAGAAGGGATCAGCAGAGTTTGAGAGAAATGGAGCTGTTAACAATTAATCCCAGGATTATGGTCAGATAATGACATTAAAGTGGTTGAGAAAGAAATTCATTTGAAAGGGAAAAATCAAGAGTAAAGTTTTAAGCAAATTAAATTTAAGATGCCTTTGAAACATCAAAACAGACATGCCAAGAAGAGTGCTAGTACATCAATCTGGGGCTCAGAAGAGATCTCAGTTGGAGATATAAATTTGGGAGTCATAGAGTAAGACTGAATGTAAAGAGGTCCTTTGTGACCTTTCTGAGAACAGTTTCAGCAGAGGCAGGAGGTGGGTAGACAGGTGCTAGATTGCAGTGGGTTGAGAGGAAGTTGAGGCAATAGACAACAGATATAGACTATGCTTTCAAGTACTTTGGAGAAAAAGAGAGAGAGAGATTAGGAAAAAAGCTTCAGGGAAATGTGGGGGTAGAGTGGAGGTGTTTTAAGATGAGAAGAGTTTTCAGCTTGTTCACAGGCTATAAGAAAAAAAGGTAGGCAGGGCAGGATTGAGGATCGGAGAGCTTAGGGGTGAGGTCTGTGTGGACTAGAGATAATCAATCTCCAGAGGAGGAAGAAAGAGATGGAATTCTAAGCACAGCGGGCAGGACCAGCCTAAGAAAGAAATAGAAATACATCTTCCTGTGAAATACAGAGAACTAACTCGGAATGGTGGTGAAGAATAAGGAATTTTAAAGAAGATGAGTGAAAATAAGAGATTTCAGACCTAAATGCCTTTTTCTTTTATTATTATTATTTTGATGTGGTGAGGTGACAACGTCTACTGAAAGTGAGTGGATGAGATTAGCATGCAGATCTTTTAAAATCTGCACTACCTGATTCCTTCATGATTATTATTCCAAGCCCTTTCCATAGCTTTATGATGCTCGTGGCTATCAAACCCTCACATGATAGTGTTATTGATTTCAAATTCCAAATATTCTTTAGACTGAATTCCTTGATTGATTTTTCTATATGCCATTAACTCATGTTATGGGACCCCAGGGCTACGAAGCATTAATCTGCTCCAAGTTCAAGCAAACTTTCAATTTAACAAGCCTTTATGGCTTTTTCAATTGTAGTTGATTAGATGACATCAAGTTAAGCAAAACATCTTTAATTTGTCTCAAAGGACCTAACCAAGGAAAACATTTTGCCAGCCTTGAGATTGTGATGGGAGAGCATATAAACTAGTGGATTTTGTAATGCAGGCAAAGTTTCCGCTCTGTTGGTCACAACGTGTGATTGGTTCAATCTTACATCAGTGGGCTGTCTGCTTCATCATTCTTATTTCCCAGCTGACACTAGAGCCTCTCATTTGTAATCACTTTAATGCTCAGTATAGTCTCAATACACTGTCAAGTCAGAAAGAGCTGTTTCAGAAAATAACATGTTTCTTTGTGAAAAGTTAAAAAACAGATGAACAATCTATTCATTATTTATTAATACTTAGCAACATATTGATTATGTACTTAGGTAGAAACAAGCAAAGTTCACGCAAACTCCACATTGGCATACGTTACTTCACTGGTTAAAATTATTATTCTTAATATTTCAGAACTCTACATTGGTTTATCTATTGTTAATAAGGGATATATTTTAAGTAAAACATTGAAGTTAAATTATGCTGTCATCAGAAACTTCTTCTTTTTTAAAGAGTAACATCAATAGAATCAAGGCCTGCCTGTTTTCCTGCATCCACAGGCTACCTTTTCTCTGTAGCTGAAATTGTTTGACCCTTGATCTAAAAGTAAAGTTCAGCTTCTGGGATCTATACTGACCTTTATCAAGGATAATTTAGGGAATACAGACCAGTCTTTGGTTGATTCAGAGTTTCCAACCTAGCCTAGCCAAGAGTGTTTCCAGTTAGCACTATACTTCTAATTCTTCTTCTTCCTCCTCCTCCTCCTCCTCCTCCTCCTCCTTCTTCATCTTCTTCATCTTCTTCTTCTTCCTCTTCCTCTTCCTCCTCTTCCTCTTCCTCTTCCTCCTGCTCCTCCTCCTCTTCCTCTTCTTCTTCTTCTTCTTCTTCTTCTTCTTCTTCTTCTTCTTCTTCTTCTTCTTCTTCTTCTTCTTCCTCTTCCTCTTCCCCTTCCCCTTCCCCTTCCCCTTCCCCTTCCCCTTCCCCTTCCCCTTCCCCTTCTTCATCTTCTGTTATTATTATTTTTGGAGATGGAGTCTCCCTCTGTCACCCAGGCTGGAGTGTAGTGGCATGATCTTGGCTCACTGCAACCTTCACCTCCCGGGTTCAAGCAATTCTACTGTCTCAGCCTCCCAAGTAGCTGAGTAGCTGGGACTACAGGTGCATGCCACCATACCTGACAAATTTTTGTATTTTTAGTAGAGATGAGATTTCATTATATTGGTCAGGCTGGTCTCTAACTCCTGACCTCAGGTGATCCCACCCTTCTCAGCCTTCCCAAGTGCTGGGATTACAGGCGTGAGCTACCATGTGCTGAGATTATAGGCATGAGCTACCATGTGCTGGGATTACAGGCGTGACCCACCATGACCAACATATGCTTCTAATTATTGATGCTATGCTCCCTTACTAACCTGTTGATTCAGGATTCCATGATGAAGAGAAGAACACTTGGGCTTGAATTCTTACTTCATTACTTTTTTTGCTGTATGACTCTTGGTAAGTTATTTCACTTCTCTGAGCCTCAGATATACCATCTCTCAAATGTTGTTACAAATACTTATGTCAAAAATGTATTATATAATACCCAGCTTAGTCTTGCAAATCTTTCTCCTAAGTTCCTGCCATCATAGACTCCTCATTATCCATGTTCTTACAGTCAAGACTTCTTGTTTTGTTTTAGGTATCTTTAGGAATTGCAGTTCTGTGACCAGCTGCTAGATCACTTTGATGATAATTACCACCTTTTCAAATTTGTACATATTAGCTGAGTCTCAGTTACTAGGTTCATCTATCTGTCCAGACAACTAGCTGCATCTTGCTAAACTGCCTCGATGATTGTCATATGCCTGGGTCACCGCCTATTATTTGACATCAAATTTGATGACTGCTTTGGACTATCTGGTTGCCTGGGCTTTCCCCATCCCTTCCCCACAAAAGTTACATTTAATTTCTGCTTCATTTGTAGTTTTGATCATTATATGCTATATTAAATGGACTTAAAGTTATCTTTTAAAAAATATGAATAAAGAAATCTTCAAACTTCAAGAAAAATGTCAACCTATAATAGAAAAACTTAGTATTCATTATAAATTAAAACATGCATTTTGGGAGAAAGTGTTGATGATTTTAGAACTTACAATTTACAACACAGAATCAGTTTCAAGCATTTGTCAAAATTCATTGCTCCTTTAAGCAAATGACAAAATTCATCAGGTCTTGGAATTTCACATGGTTGCTGTATGCTAATATTGTCCAGCAGAAGTCAAGGTAAAAAAATCACAAAGTCAATGGAAGAATGGTCAAGGGTAAAAAACATCCCATATATGGGCAATCCATGAGTTATCCTCTTTCTATACCAGTTTCAAAAGCAATGATTTACTTGTTGAACAAATGTTCTGCCTTGTTTATCAAATGTTGTTAGCTATTAATACATGATTAGGTTCATAGTTAATTCCTGTGGTTTGAAAGTGGTCATTTTTTGGTATCTGAACCAAAAGTTACCATCAATACTTTATATAGAAACACCTTTCAATACTTAGTAACTTCTTTATATAATGAGATTTAAAATTAGAATATTTATTAGGGGATTGTTCATGAATTTTCTTGTACATTCTAGATATTAGTGGTAGTAGATCAATGTCTATGTTTAAAGTAATTATATAGATGCAAACACCTTCATCTATTTCTGTGTATACAGTGGAACTAGAAAGTTAATGTAATTGTTTAATAATGAGACACTGGGGAAACACATTTATTCTTCAACAATACTACAGAGTCACCTGGAATTTTTCCATTTTCTCTTACTTTCTTAACATTTAGATCTAGAAAGTATTTTAGATAACCTAAATAAACATCTGTCAATTTCTTATGTTACATTAAGTGGTACTATAGTAATGGTCTGAATTATCTACTGCACTTTTTTGCACCTCTTAAAACCAAGAAGTGGCTTAGCATTGGTTTCACAAATTAATGGTCTTAAATACCTGTAAGCTGATGGCTGAGAAATAATCACAAAAAGATAGTCAATCAGATTAAATCTTCATGACGGAAATACTTGAATTGTTAAGAAAGCAATCAGTGAAAAAGCAGCCCAAGAGGACAAACCAAAATTAGTTACTAGACCTAAAAACAATTAAGTCTTTGTCCCAAAGCATAAGCCCCATAAGTACAATTTATCATCTTCTCCTTTTCAGGAGAAAAGGCATATTATTCACATAAGACTCTATCATACTATTTTTCTAGAAGACAATTTACAATAGTTTAGTTCGACAGATGATAGCACCAAAAACAATCTCACAAAGTCTTTTATATTTAAATATCTTTCCTCTCTTATTAATGCAGCCTGGATGTTGGAAGGCTTTGGAGAAACTACACTATGAGAAGTCAAAAGTATTTGGGTGAGCTAAAATAAGTGAACTTTCCCTAATTGTTCAAAACTATAACTTCATTGAAATGACCCTTGAGCCACCAATATAAATCTTTGAACACTTGTCACGCAAGTGCATCTAAAAATTCCTAGTACTAATTAATTCAGTGAAAAGTTGAATTCAATTTGGGTCAAGGAAGCATCCCTCTTTTTCATTCCCCTGTTCAAGGAACTCACAACTTTCAATCTCCAGGGTGCAGTTCTGCTCATCCAGTGGATATCTTCGCAGATCCATCATACAGGCAGCTGTAGTTGTGATTCTGATAGAGTGGAGAGAGAAAAAACAAAACATTACAAAAATGATGGCATTTCATTTTCAGGCTTCCTAGTCCCAAATCATATTTACCAGTTGGCAGAAACAAGGCATCAAAATTTTGTGAGATTTAAGAAACTATTATGAATAATTATATATCAATAAATTGCATAATCTAAAAGGATAGGTCAAAATGGATAAATTTCTAGCAACATATAACCTACCAAAACTGTGTTAATAACAAATAGAAATCTGAACAAACCAGTAATGAACAAGGAAGGGGAATCGGTAATCAAAAACTTTGCAACAAAGAAAAGCCCAGGGCCAGGTGGTTTCATGGGTGATGTCTACCAGACAGACATTCAAAGAAGAATGAATACTAGCCTTTCTTAAACTGTACCACAAAATAGAATAGGGAAAACTGCCAAATTAGTTTAATGAGGCCAGCTTCACTCTAATTCCAAAGCCACACAGACAATACAAGAAATGAATGGTACAGGCCAATATCCCTTATGGTATTAGATGCAAACATTCTCAATACTAGCAAATGAAATTCAACAGCATATTAAAAGTATCATACACCATGACCAAGTGGGATTTATTACTGGATGCAAGGATGGATATGCAACAACCAACAGCATATACAAATCAGTCAATGTGATACAACATATATATTAATAAAATAAAAACCACATGATCATCTCAATAAATGCAGAAAAATTAAAACTTTTCTTCTAAGATCTGGAAGAAGGCAAGTGTGCTCACTCTTGGCCCTACTAGTCAACATGGTACTGAACCCCCAGCTGAAGCAATCGGTAAGAAAATTAAATAAAAGGCATCCAAATCAGAAATAAATAAATAAAATTATCTCTTTTAGCAGATGACATGATTATATACATAGAAAATTATATAGACTCTGTAAAAACTATTAGAACTAATAAATTCAGTAAAATTGCAAGATGTAAAATCAACACACAGAAATCAGTGGTATTTTTGTATACTAATAAATTCTCCAAAAAGGGAAATTAAGAGTACAATTTTATTTATGTTAACTATGACAACAAAGTACTTAGGAATTAACTCAATCAAAGAGAAGAAAGACCTGTACATTAAAAATTACAAAACATTGATGAAGGAAGTTTAAAAAGGCAAATATATAAAATGACATTTTGTGTACATGGCTTGGAAGATTGAATATTGTTAAATTTTCCATTCTGTCTACCCAAAATCATTTTATAGGTTCAAAAATCCCAGTGGTATTTTTTACAGAAATAGAAGAAATAATCATAAAGTTTATATGGAATCATGAAAGACTCTGACAAGCCAAAACCATCTTGTGCAAGATCAAAACTGTTCTAATTTACATTTCCATTAACAGTGTATAAGGGTTCTTCCCCCACCACACTCTTGACAACACTTTTGTCCTTTGTCTTCTTACTTATAGCCGTCCTCACAGGTATAAGGTGGTATTTCATTATGGGTATAATTTGCATTCTTCTGATGATTAGATATGTTGAGCACCTTTTCATATGCATGTTTCCTATCTGAATTTCTCCTTTTGAAAAGTTCTATTTGGGTCCTTTGCTCATTTTTAAATGGAGTGATTTGTATTTTGTTATTGAGTTGTGTGTGATTTTTATATGTGTTGGATATTAATGTATATTAATTTGTATATGATTTGCAAATATTTTCCCCCATTCCATAAGTTGTCTTTTCATTTTGTTTATTGTTTTCTTTGCTGTATATAAGCTTTTTAGTTTGATGTATCCCACTTAGCTGTTTTTTGCTTTTATTATCTGGGCTTTTGGTATTATATTAAAAAAATTATTGCTAAGACCAAAGTCAAAAAGGTTTTTCCTTTTTGGAAAGGTTTTTTGCTAGTTGTTTCACAGTTTCAATATTTATGTTTAAGTATTTAATCCACTTTGAGTTGATTTTCATGTATGGTATGAGATGAAGTCAAATTTATATATGTAAGTATGTATTGATTTATTTTGCTTGTGGATATCCAGTTTTTCAAACACTATTTGTCAAAGAGACTGTCCTTTGCCCATTGTATGCTCCTGGCACCTTTGTTGAAAATCAGTTGACCATAAGTGTATGTGTTTATTTCTGGTTTCTCTATTCTGTTTCACTGGTCTGTATGTCTGTATTTATGCCATTACCATAGTGTTTTGATCATAATACATTTGTATTACAACGTGAAGTGTAATGCCCCCAGGTTTGATCCCAAGGCCTATTGATTATGATATTGGCTCTAGATTTTTCATATATAGTTTGGATTATGTTAAGGTAAGTTCCTTTTATGCCTATTTTGTTGAACGCTTTTACCACAAAAGATGTGGAATTTTGTCAAATGCTTTTCTGTATCTATTGATATATTACGTAGTTTTAAATTCATCATTCTGCTAATGTGGTATGTAACACTGATTAATTCACATATGGTGAACCATCCTTGCATCCCAGTAACAAATCCCTCTTGGTCATTGCATATAATCCTTTTAATTTGCTATGGAATTTAGTTTGCTAATATTTTATTGAGGATTACATTACTTTCATAAATAATGTAACACATTCATTATTTGCAATAGCCATATTTCAATGATATAATAATAAATCTATTAAAATATTTTGTGACTAAAAATTTTAAAGTTAGGCAGATTGAGTTAGAGTCTTAACTTTGTTGCCTGCAAGTTGTGTGAGTTTGCCTTAGTTAAATTATCTCCTTGCAGCTCATTCCTCTCATTAATCAAAGCTCCTACTACACAGGATTGCTGTGAGAATTAAAGGAGATAGTGTATGCAAAGCTTTTAGCCCAGCACCCCATACTTAATAGGTACTCCCCAAATGATTATCTTTATTATAGCTGTTATTATCTCATGACTCTTTCCATTTTTATCACCCTAGCAATATCTGTATCACTATCTGCAGAATTTGTGAATAGGAGGAATCTACATTATACATAAAAGCTTATCTTCCTCTCTTGCTACAACTAAATACAACATCAGCAGCAACAACAAAACCAGCCTCTGTGACTTTTGGTGCCTCACGCTTCCCATTATTAGAGAGATTTGTCAGATTTATCTCTGAAAGTCTCGTCTACTTATATTTAGCAGGTAGCATATAACCAGGGAAGAAACACTATCCTGGGATTTGAGTTTACACCATGTTCACCACCCCCAGTTGGGCTTTTGTGTTTATTCAAACTCTAGGACCCTAACTCTATATATACTATCTGGACTTCACTATCCCTCCGTTTTCTCTTGCCTGGTATGGTTCTCTAGGCTGTGAAGTCTGAGAGTAATTGAAACTCAGATGGTGAGTCCACCTTTGCAAGATTTTGATTCACTTTTGAATTGACAAAAAACTTTAAAAAATGTAATGGTCCTCCCCATAAAATGTAATCATAAGTTAAAAAACACAAAAAGTCAAATTAGTTGATGTTTCTTTTTTTTATCTTAATCTCCAGGAACTACAGTTAGAAAGTTTCTAAAAATATTCTATTCAAATAGAAGCACAGCTGTGTCTTCTTATGGAAAAACCCTCTTAGACAGTAGTCTACCTCACACACTCCTTTCTTGCTTATTTTCTTTAACAATGCATCTTAAATTTGGTTCTGTATTAATAAATAATAAGCTGTCTTCAAACATTTACGGAAATTGTGTGTAGATGTCATAATTTATTTTCTTAATCATCCTTTGGTGGGCATTTGTGTTGTTTTCATTTTATTTTTTTCAAATGAAAGTGCTCTGAATATACTGTAGCATATTGTGTACACAGCATATATACTCTACTACAGTATACTGTATAAATATGTGTATATATATATATATATATATATATATATATATATACAAAAACTAATCTATTTACATGCATACTTTCCTTCTTTCTGTATATGTATTACATATATGGAAATGCTCTGAATATACATCAGAGTATTTTTTGAGGCTTCCAAGGTGGGTTATTGCTTAGGTTATTTGTGCTACAATAAAGGCATCTTTTTCTTTCTTTTCTTTCTTTCTTCCTTTTTTCTTTTTTTTTTTTTTTTTTTGAGACGGAGTTTCACTCGTTACCCAGGCTAGAGTGCAATGGCGCGATCTTGGCTCACTGCAACTTCTGCCTCCTGGGTTCAAGCAATTCTCCTGCCTCAGCCTCCTGAGTAGCTGGGACTACAGACGTGTGCCACCATGCCCGGCTAATTTTTGTATTTTTAGTAGAGACGGTGTTTCACCATGTTGACCAGGATGGACTGAATCTCTTGACCTCGTGATCCACCCTCCTCGGCCTTCCAAAGTGCTGGGTTTATAGGCGTGAGCCACCGTGCCAGGCATAAGGCATCTTTTTCTTAAAGGAAAAAGAAAACCCCTCCCACTTTCCAATTTCTGTTTGGCTTTCATCATGAAAGATGAAAGCTCACAGATGTGAACATTTTCATATACCTTTTGAAGTCTTTCATAGACAGGACATTGGTCAATTTACTTGAATTTATTTAAGCATTACACCAAAGCAAAATAATTTTAAAGTTTAATTTTTTTCCCAAATGTTTAACAAAACACTATGCTTTCATTTCCCATGATCATATGGGTTGATTAATTTATTCATTTAACAATACTTCATGAATATCTTTTATTGTCTAAAAATACAGGGAGGGGAACATCATACACTGGGGTCTATTGAGGGATGGGGGGCTGGGGAGTGATAAGAGGGGGTGGGCAGATTGGGGAGGGATAACATTAGGAGAAATACCTAATGTAGGTGTTGGGGGATGGAAGCAGCAAACCACCATGGCATGTGTATACTTTTGTAACAAACCTGCAAGATCTGCAAATGTACCTCAGAACTTAAAGTAAAATAAAAACCAAACCAAAACAAAGAAACAAAAAATACAGTTGTTCAACATTCTTTTTTTAGTCCCGTAGTGATTCAAACACCCTAAATAAAGCAACCACAATAAATACTAAAAATTCATTTGTCTACTATACTTCTTTACCATATTTTTCATTT